GCCGTATCTAGACCCACACACAGACCAAGCTTCAATATCGAGCATAAATCAAAAATGTCTGTGTCAAGCTCACTGCAACAAACTGCTGTAAGTGTATAACCAGGAAGCGAGGTAGGAGGGCAAAATAGGTTTAATGCCACCGCAGCATGGGAGGGAGAATTACGCCCAGGGGCAAATGGATAAAAATAGACCGGAGGAAAAAAAAAACATGAATCGATACTCTTGCGGACGTATCGATGCATCGGATCGTCGGCTGTTGGATCGATGCATTGATACAAAATGATTATTATTTACATCCCTACATGGAACACTGGGGAACCCCCCATGGAACCACCCATGGAACAATCCATGGAACCACCAATGGAGCCACTGGGGAACGCCCCCATGGAACCACAGGGGAACCCCCCATGGAACCACTTGAGAACCACCAATGGAACCACCGTGGAACCACCCATAGAACAATCCATGGAACCACCCATGGAGCCACCGGGGAACCCGTGGAACCACTGGCAAACCCCCCATGGAACCACTGTTTAACCCCCCCATGGAATCATCAGGGAGCCACCAATGGAACCACCGGGGAACCACCCATGGAACCATTGGGGAACCCCCAATGGAATCATCAGGGAACCTCCTATCGAATCATCAGGGAACCATGAAGAGAACCGCCAGGAAACCACCCATAGAACCACTGGGGAACCCCCCCATGGAATCATCGGGGAACCCCGCATGGAATCATCAGGGTACCCCCCATTGAATCATCAGGGAACCATCAATGGAACCACCGGGAAACAACTGGGAAACCCCCATGGAATCATTGGGGAATCACCCATGGAACCACCAAAGGAATGATCGGGGAACCCCCTATGGAACCACCGGGGAACCCCCCATGGAATCATCAGGGAACCCCCTATGGAATCATCAGGGAACCACAAAGAGAACCACCAGGAAACCACCCATGAAACCACTGGGGAACCCCCCATGGAATCATCGGGAAACCGCTGGGGAACCCCGCATGGAATCATCAGGGTACCATCAATGGAACCACCGGGGAACAACTGGGAAACCCCCCTGGAATCATTGGGGAACCACCCATGGAACTACCAAAGGAATGATCAGGAAACCACCAATGGAATATCATGGAATCATCAGGGTACCCCCATTGAATCATCAGGGAACCACCAAAGGAACCACTGGGAAAACCCCATGGAATAATTGGGGAACCACCCATGGAACCACCAAAGGAATGATCGGGGAACCCCTTATGGAATCACCGGGGAACCCCCCATGGAATCATCAGGGAACCCCCTATGGAATCATCAGGAACCACGAATGGAACCACCAGGAAACCACCCATGGAACCACTGGGGAACCCCCCATAGAACCACCGGGGAACAACTGGGAAACCCCTCATGGAATTATCGGGGAACCACCCATGGAACCACTGTGGAACCACCAAAGGAGTGATCGGGAAACCCCCCATGGAATATCAGGGAATCAGCAGGGAACCTCTGGGGAACCCCCCTAGAAATCATCAGGGTACACCCCATTGAATCATCAGGACACCAATGGAACCACTGGGAAAACCCCATGGAATCATTGGGGAACCACCCATGGAACCACTGTGGAACCAGCAAAGGAATGATCGGGGAACCCCCCATGGAACCACTGGGGAACCCCACATGGAATCATCGGGGAACCCCCATGGAACCACTGGGGAACCCCTCATGGAACCACTGGGGAACCCCCCATGGAACTACTGGGGAACCACCCATGGAACTAGGGGTGTAAATCACACCCATCATGGCGATTCGATTCAGTATCGATTCCCTGACCCAATGAATCGATTATTTTCTATACTCAAGAATACACCACGATACGTTTCGATTCGATTAATTGGTTCATTTTTTTTTACCTTACAAGCTAGACAATGTTTCAAATTTGAAATAAATCAATAAAAGCTGTAATATCATTATGCATTTTATTTGAGAAACAACTGCAAATATCAGAAGTAGAAAAGGTGCACTCCAAATATTCCTGTTAAAACCTCATTCACTGAAAAGTCATAATACCCCCCGCGTTATAGATTCTGAAAGGCTTTGCATCAAAAATACTGTACAAAATCAGTGCAATGAGTGCAATTCAATACCTCGGCTCCAGACGTCCCCGCCCCCTCCACAGACGCTCAGCTGCACCTCTCCCAAATTGTAGCTGACCGCAGACAGGAGGCCGGCTTGTTTTGTTTTTATGACCAAAATTGCGGAAAACAACTTGTGAAGTGTGAGCGCTAGAAGAGCGAGGTGCGCAAAAACGCTGGGACCCTTTTTCCACCTGGATCTCCGCTCTTTTTGGCCCTCATGTCCCTCCATCACCGGACTAAACTCGCCCCACTTCCTCACCGCCTCGGCCGTATCTAGACCCACAGTGTGTAACGCAGACCACGCTTCAATATGAGCATAAATCAAAAATGTCTGTGTCAAACTCGCTCCAACAAACTGCTGTACGAGTATAACCAGGAAGCGAGGTAGGAGAGCAAAATAGGTTTGGCGCCACCGCAGCATGGGAGGGAGAATTACGTCCACGGGCAAATGGATAAAAATAGACCGGAGGAAAAAAAAAAAATACATGAATCGATACTCTTGCGGATGTATCGATTGATCCGATCGTTGGCTGTTGGATCGATGCATCGATACAAAACGATAATTATTTACACCCCTAGTTGTTATCTGTATTTAATTTTTATTGACCAAAATCGTAAATTAAATTTGTTTTCATGTCTACAGGGTCTTTTTGGAATTATCAATGTCGTTCTTTGGCAGGGTCTCTTTTGGAAATAGAGATTTTTAATCTCCATGGAATCAACCTGAACGATTATAACATGCATAACCCTTTTAACATTGTCCTAATTCTTTTCATTTTTCACTTTCCACTGCACATTAAATAAAAACATTTACATACACTCAACATAAATATAAACTCAACACTTTTTGTTGTGCTCGCATTTTTTATGAGATTTTTTTCCATATACGCAATATCACCACTTCACTCAAATATTGTCTACAAATTAGTCTAAATCTGTGATAGTAAGTACTTATCCTTTGTTGAGATAATCCATCCCACTTCACAGGTGTGCCATATTGAGATGCTGATTAGACACATGATTAGTGCACATAATGACTATAGTTTGAATTTGTTATACATAGGGCAACATTGGCGTTGGATGTAGGAGTTTGCCCTGAAATCGAAGGGTTGATGGTTCAAGCCCCGGCTCTGACTTTCAGTGTTGTTGTGTCCTTGGGCAAGACACTTCACCTGCATTGTCTACTGATGGTAGTCAGAGGGCCTAGTGGTGCCAGTGTACGGCAGCCCCGCTTCTGTCAGTGAAACCCAGTGCAGCTGTGGCTCCAATGTAGCTTGCCGCCGTGAGTGTGTGCGTGAATGGGTGAATGAATGTAATGTAAAGCGCTTACAAGTTTTCTTTGTTTTTGCCATTGACTTAGTCCTGGCATCCCCAAAGTAGCTTTCCTGCAGGTTTTAGAGGTTTCTCTGCTTTAGCAGAGCTCATTCTGATGATTGCAGTTTAGCAAAAGCCTGTTAATTAACTATCAATGTAAATCGGCAGGGAAAAATCTAAACCTCTAGAGCAGAGAAACCTCTAAAACCTGCAGGGCAGGGGCCCTCGAGGACCGACTCTGGGGATGCCTGATTTAGACGTTTATGCTTTGTGTCCTCCCTTAAGCTTGCCTTGAAGCACTTACAGAATACTTGTAATGCCCTTCAGTATAATTTACTACAGCTCAAGCCTGTTCTTGATCTTTCTAAGAAAAAGTTTGACTTTCAGAAACTAAGATTAGAACACATACTATTCCTGATGTAGTTGCTTTAGGTGGGATAAAAGTTCCTAAACCTCTGCATCCTAATTGATCACTCCTTCACTGTAACAAAAAAAAAAATAGTTGAGACTGAAACTGGGTACTTTATGGCAATTAACAGTTCTTAACTGTGCTTGTGTATGCTTCTGCCCATCGCCTTCACAAGATTAACACAACTTTTTATTTTTGCCCCGTTTTGCCAAGACCACATAAGATTGGAACAAAGTGTTATAATGCACTTAGATATAATTTAGTGATTATTCTGATTCACCAGTATTGTATCACTTGTAAAAAAGAAAACATATATGGATACATGGACCTCCCTGACGGAGGAGGTAACCACTACCCCTGAGGAAAACATCATTCAAAAAAACAAAAAAAATAAAGTTCCTGAACTTTATTGACCTTACACTAGAACTGATGATGCATTTACAGTAGCTAGCATTAAGGAGGTGCAGAGGCATAGTAAAACTACTGATATGTAAACGTAAATAAAAGCACTTTAAAATTAAGTCTGGTGTTTAATAAAAACTTTTGCATTACTGCTACATTATATAAATGTGAACTTCACTGTCTTATATTCCACTTTTACCAGTTTTGCTTAGTAATTAATATAAGAGATTATAAGGCATAATTGTTCAGTTTTAGACATAGTTTTAGCTACACTTGAATAAAAAAAAAAAACATTAACCTCTGAGGAAGAAGAGATGTATTTGACTGGTTGCTTAAGTTTGTAACAAATTGTACAATATATGTCGCCATAATCTGAAAAAGGTTTTTTTTTTTCAACTGCCAAAAGACAACTATCAGGCAGCGGTAATATATCATATTACAATTAAAAGTGGATATTTACATACACTGTATAAATACACAAGTAACCCATTCTTTGTATGGATAGGCAACAAAATAAAATGCCAACACAATGAGTCATTTTTTTAAAAATGGAATTAACATTTCCTCATTGTTTGGTAGCATTGCCTATTTTTAAAGTTGATATTAGAACTTGCCCTGCGATGGACTGGCGACCTGTCCGGGGTGTGCCCTGCCTCTCACCCATTGACTGCTGGAGATAGGCACCAGCACCCCTCGCGATCCCACTCGGGACAAGCGTGTAAGAAAATGGATGGATGGATATTAGAATATTTTTCATAATATTGTGCTGGAATTCCTCCTGAAAAAAATGTGTGATTGAATTGGGTATGAGAATTTCTTTGAGTATTTTTAACAGAATACTATTAAGTCATTTTTTGTATCTCCTGGCTCACAAGCTTTGGACTCTCCGCCCATGTGATTACAAGTCCATTATGTTTCATGGATATTACAACTATTAGCTGCTTAATTAATCTTTTTTAGAAGGTCTTTTGTTTTTGTTTGTGAGTTTATATCACTAAAATATGTTCATCTATGGGGAAGAGAAGCTATTATGTTTGATAATAGGGCAATGGCCGGACAGTCCCAGGGTGTTTATACAGTACTTGCAAATTATTGTTTGAACTGCTTAACATGGAACCTTTCTATTATATGGAAATACAGAAATAAAAAGACAAGCAGTCATGCAAACACACTGACTCATCAGAGCAATAAAAAAAACAAAACTGTTATTGTTAACAACTGTGCCACCATAAAACCTGTCTTTATACAGTGTATGGAAATGTTTTACTTAAACACAGTGTGTTTTTTTTTTCTTTTTCTAAGAGACAGGTTGGTAATGTTTGTAGAGTTCTTAGAAGGTGTATTCCTTGTAAGCAGTGATTTAATTAGTTTTTGTGAAGTAATAATATAATCACTTCACAAAAACTCTAATGTCATCAAAAATAATAATAATTCTGTGGGTCTTTAACTATAAATGTGTACCTCGGCCAATAGAAAGAAAAACACAACACAAACCAGAACTGGTAAAAAAAAAAAAAATCATCTCCTGAATCTGTGGCGTGTTGTTGCACTACAATCCTGCTGCTCATTTAGAAGGATCTAGGTCTTTGATGACAGGTTCTCTGTTTAGGTAGGTGGCCCAGTAGACCAGATTGAAGGTGCCAAACAACACAGGAAACATAATACGGGAGATGCGGTCAATTTTGCTGACGCTGTTAAAGGTTTTCTTGTTCTGTTCAGGCTTCAACTCTGCTATGATCTTGTTGGGCTCGTTCAGAGTGCACTTGGAGATGGTGGGCAGCGTGGAGTCTTTGGTAATGTTGGGCGCATAGTTTGCCACAGCAACAGCATAGGCGTTGTTCTTCTTCATAACAGAAACTTCTTTTTTCTAAATGCAGATTAAAAAGCACGGTAGATTACTTTTTCACCAATAAAACCTTTTCCTGATATGAGGGTTATGTTTCCATTTTATTGAAAATAAAAGATCCAATAATAAAACAAGATCCAAACTTAATACCACAAGAAAGCACTATTAAAACTTAGTTTGAATGAAGAGACTGTGGTTATAGTGAGGAATCAATTTGCAGACAGGTGGAGAGGTGTTACTCAGTAAGTAAAAAGCTTAACAAAAAAGTCTAAAACTAACATGGAGTGATCCAAACAGCATAAACATGACACCAGCATGGCATCGACAAAGCAGTATAAAGTCCTGGGGCAGGGAACAGAAAATGCCAGTCTAAGGCCAACTTTAGGCTGAATATATTCCCTGTCTACTCCATCATTCTTCACAAGTGTTCTGTACGTAAATCCTCACATGTTGTGCATTAATTCTGTTCAGGCACTCAGACAACCCCTCTTTAGTTTGAAGTGTACCTAATTAAATTTAATGACACATTTAGCTAAATTTCATCATTCAACAGCTAGTTGTCTAGGTGGTGTCCTGAAAATGATGGGGGCTATGCTGTAAAGAGAGAGAGAGAGATGGCATACCTCCCACTTTGGATGGTGCAGCCCTCAGCCAAAACAATTAACTTGTCTGCCACTGCTGTGCAGTCATCACAGGCCCTGTCCAGTGCTGAACCTGATTTAAGCTGGGGTGGTACTGTCCAGTGCTGAAATGGCTGGCTCCTTGTCTGCCCCTGCTGTGCAGTCACCACAGGCCCTGTCCAGTGCTGAACCTGATTTAAGCTGGGGTGGTACTGTCCAGTGCTGAAATGGCTGGCTCCTTGTCTGCCCCTGCTGTGCAGTCACCACAGGCCCTGTCCAGTGCTGAACCTGAGTTAAGCTGGGGTGGTACTGTCCAGTGCTGAAATGGCTGGCTCCTTGTCTGCCCCTGCTGTGCAGTCACCACAGGCCCTGTCCTGTGCTGATCCTGATTTAACCTGGAGTGGTTCTGTTCAGTGCTGAAATGGCTGGCTCCTTGTCTGCCCCTGCTGTGCAGTCACCACAGGCCCTGTCCAGTGCTGAACCTGATTTAACATGGGGTGGTACTGTCCAGTCCTGAAATGGCTGGTGCCTTGTCTGCCCCTGCTGTGCAGTCACCACAGGCCCTGTCCAGTGCTGAACTTGATTTAACCCGTCTATCAAATTCTTTCCAATATTTTAGAATTTAATCCTTTGCCATTAGCCAGCACTTCAGACAGGACCCTAACTGCTTCAACAGCGCCCATACGAGGCTCCTCAGGTTCAGCACTGGACAGTGCCTGTGGTGACTGCACAGCAGTTGCAGAGAAGGCGCCAGCCATTTCAGCACTGGACAGTACCACCCCAGGTTAAATCAGGTTCAGCACTGGACAGGGCCTGTGGTGACTGCACAGCAGGGGCAGACAAGGCGCCAGCCATTTCAGCACTGGACAGTACCACCCCAGGTTAAATCAGGTTCAGCACTGGACAGGGCCTGTGGTGACTGCACAGCAGTTGCAGAGAAGGCACCAGCCATTTCAGCACTGGACAGTACCACCCCAGGTTAAATCAGGTTCAGCACTGGACAGGGCCTGTGGTGACTGCACAGCAGGGGCAGACAAGGCGCCAGCCATTTCAAAACAAATGCTCTATGTTGAATAGAAGACATCTCTATTCAAAGAGTTTGTCAGTTAAAGACTATTATTAATTCATCAAAATTCGAAAACCTGGCTGCAACAAGTGTATTAGGTTTGCATTAGTGAGGTAACTCTCCTTGGCTATTTCCATTTCTACATGCCCAGAAATTCTTTACGAGGAGAAGTAACAGCAACTTTTCAGTCTGATTTGTGGATAAGTACAAAGCCAGCTAATAGTTACAACTCTTTTGAACATTTAACTCTAGGTTTTACCCATTCATACTGTAAAGCAGAAAATCACTTCTATTTGTAACTCTGTATGGCCCTTTCTCTCAATGCTTAGATTTTCATACTTAAATGCAGACATAGTCCTTATGTTGGGGGATTTTAAATATCAGGCCAATATGAAGGAGATATCTCAAATGCCACCTTTAATAGTGTCTTAGTCTTAGAGACCTTCTTCAAAGTGCCATAGTGTAGCGATGCTTTCCTGCACAACCTCACCAGCTTGCCATCACAGAATTTGTCTGTCGGTTGGTCATTCTGTTGGTTCAGTCAATTAATTGACCATTCTACCTGTACGCTGCAACATGATAATGCTCCAGAAAGTAAAAGTAAATAAACTAAGAACTAGCTGGAACCAGAAAGTAATAATCCCTGTAAAGAAAGAGTTAAAGCTTAGATCCTCCTTTGATTCTCTAGGGTGATTTGAATGAAGCCAAACATACTAAAGAGAAACCTCAGAGCTGGTAGTGTGAACATTAACAAACTTCTCGGACTGATGTCAGAGACTGATAATGGCTACAGAATTGATTTAGCTGTTTTGATAGAGAGAAACCAAATTGGTACAATTATACTAGCCATTGCTATGTTAAAAAAACCAAAAAATGTTGTTGAAATTAAATGACTGAATAGTCTTTATTTTTCCCATGAATGTATTTACCTTTTCATTGACAACACTTTTTCCATCCCAGGCCCAGCCTCGCTTGGTGAAATAGTTAACTGTAGCAAACTCAATTAGTGCAGAGAAGACAAAGGCATAGCAGACAGCAATGAACCAGTCCATTGCAGTAGCGTAGGCCACCTTCGGCAGAGAGTTACGGGCACTGATGCTGAGGGTTGTCATTGTGAGGACAGTGGTCACGCCTGGGGAAAAAAAAAGGTTTAGTAAAATAAACTAAGTATTTCAATATCTGTTCTCTTATGGGGTTCCATTTGATCCAAAAATGTGTTCATATGTTGGGAAGTGTCCATTTGTGGATGTCTGTATATGTAATGTGTGTATCTGACATGCTTATATAACAGAAGCTCTATATGTAGTGGGTTTATGGGTATATGACCGATGTATATATTGTCTTTGTATGCTGTGTGCATATGTATGTGCAGCCATGAGTCATGTCATGAGTTGTTCACTTTGTCCTTATGTGTTTTAACCAATGTCGTGGAACCTGTCCTATTCTACTGTTGTCATGTGGAATTGTTCTACTGTATTCTCCCTTTGGCGTTACAAAATGTTATCACATGATGTTTTTCTGCCCTTTCATCTGCCTCTGCTGTTACAGTCTGTCATTCTTCCCTGTCGTCCATCATGTCATTTGCCTTGTCACTGTAACAGGGTTATTATAACTTAGGGCTGGGCGATATAGAAAAAAAGCTTATAGATAAAAAAAAATGCATATTGATCGATATCGATAATTATTGAAAAGATTTGAAACCATATTTTATGTGCAGCTCTGCCTGGACTTTTTATAATATTGCTAAATGATTTAATTTTAATAAAAAACACAAACACAGACTTCGAATTAAATCTTTATTTAACCAACTTTTTTAACCATAACAGAATTGTTTTAAAGAAGAATAACTTAAGAGACCTGAGTTATGTTATTAAATACTGACAAAGAATAAACTAAAGTGACCAGAAAAGTGACCAAAATAAATATAACAAATAAATAAATGCCCCCCCCCCCCCCCCCCCCCCCCCCCCCCACCGCCGCCGCCCCCGTTTCCTGCTTTAACCTGAGTTATTACTTTGAAGTTTCTGGCCCCTCAGCATTTTTATCTCAATTGTTAGAACTACGTGGGAAACTGCCCAGAACTGAAAATATATATATATTTTCCGAAGATTCCTCGGAGGCGAGCCGCGCCGGGGCCTACACAGCTCGTACTCCTGCGGGTGTGAGCGGCTGAGATGAAAAAAAAAAGTTGGTTTCGTTATCAGACTGGTTTTCACTGGTTCCCGACACATTTTCCAGATGACTGTGGTTTGTTTTTGGTCCGACTTGCCATGACCGAAATACTGCCAGACTGCCGAACTACAAAAACCTTTCTTTGAAACAATTTCCTCCGCCTCTCCTTGCTGCACAGCTTCATGTGCTCTGTGTTGTGGTTTGAGAGGGCGGCGCTTGGTGACGGCATGCCTGGGTCCGCGATTGTGATTGGTTGGGAGGAAGCAGTGATTAGCATAAACCTACATGCTAGGCTACAATGAGAAGGAAGGAAAACTGCGTTTCTTTTTTATCGAACTTTTATCGACCCTCTTTTTTTTTATTGCGCCACATGTCTATCGATCGATATATATCGTTATTGAATTATCGCCCAGCCCTATTGTAACTAGCTGATGGAACCAGGTAAGATCAGGGGACAGGGGCGTGCATACATAGACACTAGGTGGTGCTAAAGCACTAGGAAGTTTGCCCTTTATCAAAGAAAATGCCCTTTTGAAACTCGTTTTTTTTTTTTATTATTATTAATATTATTAAGATTTTACTGAGGTCGGTTTTGAAATGATCTTTTGAAAACCTGAGCCATTAAAAACGACTGAAACAATGCCCCGAAATGAGCCACTTCCTTGCGAACACCCGACCAGCCTATCTCTCTTCCTTTGTCACGTGAACTCGCGCGGTCGCCCGCATGGCATGCATCATAGCGTCTTCAGATAGCAGGAACGGTCGCTGACAGGCTGCTTCTCCCGTGCCCCATTAGCCAGGTAATATACAGATCAATCAAAATCATTTTGTTGTGCATTAAAATGTCTCATTCAGCAGCACCAAACACGCATTTTTGCTGACTGGTCACCTGATAAACTAGTTGTCTCCTTGTAAGATGCTATTTTACTTTTTATATTTTATATCCATATGTTTATCTTAAGTGTGTATATATTTGTCTATTTTATTGCACGACGTATACCCACAGTTTTTAGATTTTTTTATAATTTTATTTACCTATTCCATATTATATGTTTCATGTTGCACGATTGTACCACAAAAAATTCCTAGTTTGTGAACTCCTTCACTAAAAATGGCAATAAACCTGATTCTGAAAGTTTTACACTGTAGCCCAAGTCAATGACGGATAACGTAAGGACGACCACATAGGCTACAAATAATTCCGGTAGAGTTTGCAATTGCAAATACGGAAGAGGATTAGGGCCGCTGAAAAAAAAAGAAAATAGGTTAACTGATTTTTAGATTTTATTTCTGTTTAGTATGGGAAAAAAGTCAGTATTCTGACTTTAATCCCAGAATTCTGACTAAATTCTGACATAAAGTCAGAATTCTGAGATTAAAGTCAGAATTCTGAGAAAAAAGTTAGAATTCTGACTTTTTTCCCATGTTAAACTGAAATAAAATTTAAAAATCAGTTAACTTTTTTTTTTTTCAGTGGCCCTAATCCTCTTCTGTACAAATCTATGTGTTAAGACAAACATTTTCTGTTGTATAGGTTTTGTTAGGCAACATAAATTCACACATTTTGGTCTCTTTATTGTCTTAATTGTATATTGATTTAGTAATTGCAGCACAATGCCAAGAAAGGACGGTTAATCGTATTGAAAAATCTTAAAAGCTGTTCACATTTTATTTTTAAGTGGTTTGTACAAAATCAGCAGGTATTAAAATCGCTATTATTTTGTAGGCTACCATAAGTCATATCCACGTGACAAGACTTCCAGTCATGTTTTCCTAATAGCCCATTATTTAAACTAATGTGGCATATTTTGTAAAGCTATTATTATTAATATTATTATTATAATTATAATTATTATTATTATTATTGTCATGATGGTTATTATTAATACATTGTAGCCAGTCACAGCAGGGAAGCTCTATACCATCAACATCTACCAGGACAGGAGATGAGGAAGAGTTCAGGGAAGACACAGAGACAGAAAAAGACCAGGATGAGGGAGAACAGATGGATGAGGGAGAACAGGGAGATGAGCCAGATGAAAGAAGTACGCTTTAGTCTGTTCTGTTGGTGGTGTGACTTTTTTCCATTGAAAACTCACGTTTAGAGAATGTTACAAATAAAAGTCAAATTTCATTCAACATGCGTGTATTTTTTTTTGTAATTAAGTGTTCCACGTGAGCTTAAAAGTGCCCTCCCCCCCTCCTGAGCACCTGCCCCCCAAAATGTCTGTGCACGCCTCTGTCAGGGGACAACACTGCCTGACAGAAGTGAGAACGGGGAACACGGCAGGTTGCAACGAGCTGTTTGAATGATCCGTGAACACATTTTTTGCCCAATTGGACCAATACAAGTACAGTGTTTTGACAGCTTATTATAATCAATGTTTTAATTTAAACTTTTTTTTATCGTGATATGGATAGTGGGTGTTTGATTGTCCAGTCAACATGTTTTGTCCAAAGCTTGCCACCATGAAATCTAAACTCTCACTGAGCTACATCAAAGAATCAGGAAGGGTCAATTTTGGTCATCAGCATTATAAAAAGAAAGCTAAAAGGTTTGTGCCTACATTTTGTCCATTTTAGCCAAGTAATTTAATTTGGGACTGTTTGGTAGATCAGCTTTGCACATATTTGTTTGCACAAGTTATTATAAAGGAACTAATTAAAGATCAGGCCCATAGTCTATTATTTACTGTTTATGTTTTATAGTCCTAAGCAGTACAGCTCAGGGCTGCTTAACCCGTCCACAAGACCTTCCTCTCTTCTCTTTCCTCATTTTCTTCTCTATCAGGTGAAGATCTTGGTGAGAAATAACCTGCATTATCATAGTTGGAAATGCTCTGCTTGCTATGTTTGTATTCCCCACATGCAATTACAAGTGATACTCACACAAGAGGGCTTTAAATATGTTATCTCAATATATTGGAAGTCATCAAGTCATTTTTTGGTTGTTTTTTTTTGCAACTGTTAGGTGGGCCTTTCTGTTTCTTTTCTGTCTACAGTGCCTTGTGCCTTTAACCCTCATGAACGTCATATTACATCCAACAATATTAGTGTGATGATGATTTAAATTATATTGCATCTGACTAAATGAGTAATTAAAACACCTCGACTCCTTTTATTAGGCCAAAATTGGTTGGTCAGTCACATTGTCATATTAGGTCAGGTTGGTTTGGATGGTAATTTCTAAACTGTTCTTTTCTTGATTACATAGAGAATTAAGAATACATGAAGACACTGTTATTTATATTGGATTTTTATAAAAAAAAAAAAAATGATACATCTTTTTATAAGAAATACATGAAGAGGAATTTAATATTAATCCTAACTTTCTTGACAGCTGCCCATCTGTATTTATATCCGTATATTTCAATTCCAGTTTTCTGTAGTTTAATTACTTAAAATCCACCATTTTTGGTGGGAAACTATAATTTCAACATAAGAACTGCACAACAAACCCAAATTTCAGTTGAATAGCTATCATTGTGATTCAGTGAATTGCTGAGGCAGCTGCTGTTCTGCCTCCCTGTAGTGCACAATCTTCAGCAGAAACTTTTGCAGTGTTTGAATGTGCTTTCATTTTCCTCTTCACGTAAAAAACCTCAACTTTTAAAGAAGAAGAAAAACACTTTTAAATAACTATAACCCCTTTGCTTTTGATTTGATATGTGAAGTGATATGGTTGTTAACATCTGGAATTTATTACAGTTTTAAAATGTCTCTTTAAATATTTCAGAAAATATGATCTCCAACTTAAAATGTCATATTTCAAGTAACAAATATAAAGGTTCCAAAACTCACCAAATACAGTTCTAGCTGGCACCGATTCCCTATTGAGCCAGAAGGAGACCTGGGAGAGGATGACGGTCATGATGCAGGGCAGATACGTCTGAATTACGAAGTATCCGATCTTCCGTTTCAGGTGGAAGTGAGCTGTCATTACTGTGTATTCACCTGAGAGCAACAGGAATACACATGTCCACCTTGCATATTAAAAAAAAATCTTATATTAAGAACAGAAATGACAAACATGCAGAAAATAATGATAATTGTTTGATTATTCCACCTGGTCTTGATATAATTGTTACTGTTGTGTTTGATATGATTACTCTTTACTTTGACATATTTACAGCTACTGTTTGCAGGAAATGTACTCGGCTGTTCTGTGCCTAGTGCATTAAACACACATTGATATGATTTGCACCCTTCAGTCACCTTGTTTGCTGCAACAATTTGAAAACAAGAAAATTTAATCTCATGAAAAGAGAGTTTATAAAAGAAAACACTCCAGGAGATGAGAAATCTGTTAGCAGGAGACTTTAAAAATTAAGTTATGAAGATCCCTTTTCCTCCCATCATGTAGTAATAGTGCTGGATATGCCATAGATGAATCACAGGCTAAAATATTTAGCAAATATCTGAATATTTTAAAAAGACATCTTAAAAAAGGAAATAAATCAATTAATCACATGGGTCTGCACCGGGAAAAAGACCACCACAACTGAATTCAAACTCTACATTTAAACCTGCAACACATTTAGGACTACATGAGGCAATTGGGTCAATGTGTATATAGGGAGGGCTAAGTATTTCTAAAATGTAGATTGTTAGGTCCCCAGGTGAAAAGCAGAAGTTAAAATGATTTAAAAAATATTTTCCTTAAAACAAAATTATAATAGGTTTTGTCCCTTTAGAGAGCATAATCTCAAATGACCACAAGAGTCATATCAGTCTCTGAACCCTGAGACTGTTCTGTATCAAGAACCATTAGTTATTAACAGTTGATTTTAATGGAAAACTTTGATCACATCTTAGAATGTTTAATATTGGGGCTAAATCTTTGCTCATCAGAACAAGGCTTTATATTATTTTTTTCAAGAGGGAAGGTTCACTTCTTCGGTGTTAGAGGCATTGGGAATAGACCATAATAGAATGGAAGACATTCAGTCTGTTGGCAACAGCAAGTCTTGACAAAACAGATGCTGGTACGAAGTTTAAATTCTCTTGTTAAAAGCTAATTTCCAGTTTTATGTTTGTAGAAAACTCAGCCAGGAGTTAGGGGGGAAAAAGGTGCATGTAGGACCACATTTTACATCATCATAATGGAAAAGTAGTGGCTGCAAAGGTTTTTTTCAAATGCATTGCTTTGCATAAAGAGCGTACAATATTCTGATTTATCCTAAATAGAGAGTGGTAGATATACCAGAAAGGAAAATTTCAATGAGAACAGGCCTGTGCGGTTAGAACCCTTAAGTTTGTTGAAATCTAGATCTAGCCCAAATAACAGTTAAAATAGTTTCTTTAAATTGGCTTTTAGGTGTGGAAACAAATACTACAACATTTGAACAGCTTCCAAGAAAATTTTTTTTCATATTTCTAACTTGGGAATTCATGCATATTGAAAGAAACTGGTATAGTGTAAAAACCATACGAGAATCCCCTGGTTCATGATTTGGCATTAAAGCTGACATTCTGTTTGTCTGATAAGGTAGTGTGTATGGAGCTTACCAGTGCTGGATTTAATAGTCTCCTTTCCAACAGTCTGACCCACCAAGTCATACTGGTTGAGCCTGGATCCATCATCAGCCACATCTACTGACTGAGAGGCATTTCTTGTCCAGATGTAAGTTACCTCTGTCTTAGTGTAGGCATCTAATACAGAGATAAAACACATATTGCAAAACGGCACATCAGAAATATTAATACAAATATGTATTAGTATTGAGCTCTCCGAAAAGAGCACCTTAAACCATTATTATTTCTATAATCCATTTTCTACAGATTAGTTCAAGTTACTCGTTCCTTTACACTGGAATATATACAAAATATTTGATGCAGTATAATGTGCATGCTGTAGACAGTAGAGTATATATATATATATATATATATATAGTATATTTTGTATGCCTGTCTGCAAAAATGTATATGTAATATAAGCGTTATGTTGGCTGGATTTCTATGTGATCTCCATGTAGAGCGTGGCTCTGGCGTAAAAGTGAGGCGGGCAAGGGAAATTAAATGAGGCAAATACCACAATTTTGCCAAATTCTGCAAAATTAAGGCGCTTCTGTTCCTTAACTCTGTGAGTTGAAAATCTTTTTTACATCAGCATCATGAAATCCAGTCAGGGACTAGATGTGGCATTGACCCACAGTGAACGATGTAGCGACGGGAACATTTTTAAACCATATTGGAAGACAGGGAAAATAATGTTGAAAAAGGAAGGGGAATGCTTCTAAGAGGTTTGTTGGTGGTTTAAAAAAAAGCCTTTTAATTTATTCCTAGAAGGACTGTTTCATCATTCAACTTTCAGTACAGACACCGGCCAGCCGCTGGCTTCTCTACTCTGCTCAGTCCTCCGCTGTTCTCCTTCCATTTCCCGCAATTAACCAGGTATACCCACAGCTGTTCCTCAAAGGCAGCTGGCCTGTAGATTTTAGAGGTTTCCCTGATTCAGCATACCTAATTTCTATCAAAATCTGATTAACAGGCTTTTGCTAAACTGCAAAAACCTGTTAATGCCTTGTCTGTTCTCCCGAACTCCCACTGTGGTTACTTAGCTCCAGAGGGAGACATGACTGGAATGCTACAAGCCACTACTCACTGTATTCAATTTGTATCATCACCATTCAATATTCTGTACATTTCAACACTTACAGCTGCCAAACTTGAGAGGACACGAATGTGAGTCCATCGGGAAGTCCTCCAGATGCATGGGACATTCAGCCTGAACGGTCAACCTGGCAAGAAACACAAATATCTCTATAAAGCTGATGTTTGGAAGTCAAGTTTTACATGCTGTTGCAGCAGCAAAAAAAAGGCTCAATGACTTTGGGCATCATGGTAGGTATGGTATGGTATGGTATGGTATGGTATGGTATGGTATGGTATGGTATGGTATGGTATGGTATGGTATGGTATGGTATGGTATGGTATGGCATGGCATGGCATGGCATGGCATGGCATGGTATGGTATGGTATGGTATGGTATGGTATGGTATGGTATGGCATGGCATGGCATGGCATGGCATGGCATGGTATGGTATGGTATGGTATGGCATGGCATGGCATGGTATGGTATGGTATGGTATGGTATGGCATGGCATGGTATGGTATGGTATGGTATGGTATGGTATGGTATGGTATGGTATGGTATGGTATGGTATGCCAAGAAAGAAGACTAAGCATAACCCCAAAATAGTTTGATTGTTAAAGGTGTCATCACCCATAAATTTTATTTTACAATCTGCATGTTGGTGTGGAGCCTCAGTTAAAACCTGCTGGATAATTCAGAGTGTATAGGTGGATTTTTTTCTTTTGTGTGTCACGGGGGAAGCTGACAAGAGCACTCTCTTTACAGAGTGTAATTTTGAGCCTCCTTCCTTAATTTACATAATTTCTGGAAGGGTGCTTAAGCCACACTTGCTATCACCACTACCATTTTTATTCCGCGGAAAAGGGTTGAATCCAAAAATCATGTTGCTGCCTGTAACTTTTTACCTAATGTAAACAATTGGAAAAGCGATAGTAAACAAACGAAGGCAAACAGCTGATGTTGCTAACACTACACCAACAACAGATGAGTCACATTTTCATGCCTACCTCCAAATGAGCTCTACTTAAATAATTTTTATCCCAAAACTCCATAAAAAAAATGTGAAGACAGTTTCAGAAGGACTGAATGTATAAATCCCAGTTGATGACTATTTAAACAATATATTGTCATGGTGGAGCTCCTGACATGTCTGAGCCTTTGATATTAGGATCTCTGTGGTTTTGCTGTTTTTCTGGTGTGAGATTCCTTTGACACAGGGGAACCTCTGTTAGAGGCTGAGCCGACCCGTGTTGCCGCACACTTCAGAAGATTTCTTGATGAAGATGACTAGCGTGTATATCAGAAGGCCAAGGATCATCTTTCTTTTTGCCGGACGATTATCGCTGAAGATATTCCAGCTCTCTCATTCCATATCTCTCAAGTAAGCAAATCAATCAGTCATCACTTGTCATCAACCAAGTCTGCTTTATCCCCTCAGACCAGCCAGGAAGTTCAACTGACTTCCTGCGGTTCTCTGCTTCCATATTCTTGTAGCTTCATAAAGATAATGTTAAAACTCACTGGTTTTCCATTCCATTTTATTCTGGATGTGGGTCAAAAAACTGTCAATTTTTAGATAGATATCAGTACTAGGACTGAAAGCAAAGCAGGTAGAATCCACCTAAAGTGTAGATAGAAGAGTATAGTCCTTAAATTATCCCCATATGACTTACAAAACAAAAACTCAGATATGCTGCCACCTTTAAGGTCAGTAGATGCCTTTGGCAAACAGATGCTTTCTGTCTGAGCCAGCAACCCATACTTAGGTTTCTGTCTGCTAGATCATGGGGTAAGATCCTGCATTTAAATATCCTTTTTATATTCAAATCTGTGGTTCAGGAAAACATTCTTAATAAAATTTAAGCTTCCCTTGTTTTAATTAAAATTCTATATGAATTACAAAAATCCTAAAAATAGTCCTTTCTTTCACAGGTCTGCAACCACAACGAATCCAACCTCAGATACAAGACAGATGATACAGATGATGGATGCCTTCATTTATCTAAAAAATACGCCTGTCACGGTCTTGGTTCTGATAAGTTTTCTTTTGACTATTCATTTTTACTTTGCTCCATGTTTTATAGTTTTAAGGTTTAATTCCTATTTTGTTTTGTTTTCTGGATATATTTGAGTTCTTAGGTTTTTCTTTGTTGCCCTCTTGTGTTGGTTTCATTTTCCCTAGCTCCTTTTTAGAAACCTCTGTTTACACCTGCTCCCAATCAGCTCGTTAGTCCTGCCTTTGTTCAGTCAGCCATAAATACTCTCCCTGTGCAGTTCCTCGTGCTTGTTTTCCCTGATGTCTCCATTGTTCTGGTTTGTTTTACATTTGCATTTTGAATTTTTGGATTCTTGCCTCATTTTTATTGTGAACATTCAATTAAATCTTCAAGAAACTCATCTCTGCCTACCTGCCTCTGCATTTGGGTCCTCAAAACCTCAACCTAACTGTGACAACACCAGTGTAAAAAATCAGATAAAAAGCTAATTCCACTCTTGTTGCTGGCATAGGAAAGAGAACATGCTACAGATAAAACACAGTGCATATCTGATAATCATGTAACCACCTCTATAAAATCATGAATTAGGATGTTAGAAAATGCCGGAACAGAAAAATATCAACAACTTCAAAATCCATTATCTTCATAATAAATCTTAGATAAGTTAATGGGCTATTTTCAAACTATGAATTCTATGATTCTATGAATATAATTGCTATTCACACATGAAAAAGATATAAACAGCTGCCAGACTACTAAGGACAAGGCAAATTTTCTTACAAGCTTGACCACCCAAGCCACATAAACTGTGTTTGGTGCATTTTTGTTTTGAAAAAGCTTCTTCAGTATTCACTGAATTTTCTCACAATTCAAAAAATAGGGAAAACTGAACTAAAGTTGGAGTGTTGTTACTTCATAACATTATTTTTCATAACATTTTGTGGGAGACGGAGTGTAAGCACAAAACCCACAAATTCACACAAACAACATGAAAACGCTGAAACGATTCCACTCTGGGGCTCCAACCTAAGATCTTCTTGCTGCAATGCAACAGCACTACCAACGGCTCCACTATGCAGGCAGTTCATTGTAATATCACTCAAGTAAAAGTGAAAACGACGTTGCAGTTTAAAAATGTCTTAAAGTCCTGTTTTTTTAAGTTTACACAAATAAATTCTGAGTAAATGTAACTAGTTAAAACACTGGTAAATGAGTCATGAAGGGGACCAAAAATGGTCATGAAGCGGAAAGTAAAAAATGACTAACGTTATGGCTTTTGAAATGTTTGAATGAGAAAATCTCTGAAGGAAAATGTGCCAAAATGCTTGCAAAGTAGCAAATAAGTGAACATATTCAGAAATGGTTTTCTTTGGAAAGATTATACTGTTCTTTATACTACAGAACTTCAGTCAAATGCCAAGTCCTGTTACAAGACAATGATCATCAGTCCAGCAGTAATTTTACAACAGAATGGCTAAAAAAAAAAAAACAAGGCACTGAAATACTCCAGTCAAATAATGATTTACATGTAGTGATATTATGCAATTTATTATCACTACAGTAGCAGCCATTCAAAATAGCCCTTCCCAGTCAAACACCAGCCAAATGGAAGCCCACTTCCCTGCAACTCTTAGCATAATCCCGCCACTGGAGTAACCCACTCCTTCTCCTGGGCTTGCATATTTCTTTTCTCTGACTCCACCCCTTCACTGAATAACAAGGGTCTAACCAGGAGAAGGTGCTTCTCTTTAGATCTTAATGTCCACAAATCATGACAGCAAGAATATTTTAGTACAAAGATTGACATTAAAGAAGAAATTGTAGGGGACCATCCAAGTACCACCCAAGGGCTCATCAAGGAAAGTGGAGAAATTTTCAATGGCTACTATTGTAGGTACAAAATAAAGAAAATTAACAAATTCAAAAGAAAAATTATCTTATCCAAACTGATTATACCAATCCATATGCCTCAAACAACCCTGCAAATCTTTACAATTTAAAAATAAAATAAAGATATATTTAACAACTGCATTTGATTTCTGGAAACAGATACGTCTAAAAACTGTTTATTAGAACATCTAATGCATTAAAAAAAGAATAATAACCCAAAGAACAGGCATAAGCCTTATGTATTAAGAGGCTGAAATCAATTAAGTAGTAGCTAACCACCAACACTAAAAAAACTCCAGCTTGAAACCACACCGATACATTTAAAATTACAAACAAAGTCCGCTACCTCATGGTGTAAAGAAGCGTTCCGTTCTCCATGATCCTCAGAAGCTTGTTGGGCATGGTCATGTTGTGTGCCACAGACTTTTTGCCATTATGAAAGAAGGTGTCAGGGGTCCAAATCTTACTGGCCATCAAGTTGTTGAGCGGAAGGGTGTTCATTGGTCCATGAAACTTCAGCCTCTCGTCTAACCAGCTCTGACGGAAGAAGACATCCACTGTGTATTCCTGAAAGAAGAGCAGAGCAGAAAATCACATTTTACTAAGGCATATTTTCTAAAGGAATGACAGAAAAACACTTGGATCATGAAACATTTGAAAAAAAAATAATAATCTAAAGCTAAACGTAAAATGGCAAGAAACCTTAGAAATGTGCTAGATCCCCTTCAATTTGATATTTTAGGATTTTTGTTTAAAATACTGAAGTTTCCCAAAAATTAGCAACAGTAGTTTGAAATGTTCTATACATTTATGAAGTCATGGAGTAGATATTTTGAGGGCACTTAATAAAACAGTATAAATATTTTGTTTATAAATAATACAAATAAAATAATAACAAACATATTGTATACAGCTCCAGCAGAAGGATTTGACTCAATGAATAAAGTATAACTCTTTATTTCCCTTATATCAGCTAGGTTTAGAATGCAGCAGCATAAAGAATATGAAAGACCATCTAAGTGTAAGTGTTTAGTCTAAGAGTTGCATTATAGTTCAGGTGTTTACTGTACTGCAAAAACCTTCTACATATGGATGGTTCACATGATTCTAGAACGTTCCTTAAAATTAAAAGAAGTAACTGATTTGATCAATAATGTCCTTCCTGACCAGTTTTGCTGTCAGGCTGAGCTTTTTGTGAGATCACAGCTTGACATAGAATGACACCTGGTTGTCTCCAGCTACATCTGTCAGTGTCAGATCCAGCTGTTGCCGGAGGCGAGTGCCATCCCAGGTTAACATCAACACCAAGGAAATCGTCTCCTTCGTCTGAGAGGAAGCTTCTCCACTTTGCTCTGTTTCCTCTTATTACTCCAAAGCAGGAAATAACTTTTTTTCCAAAAGAAGACTCCCTTTAGCTTACAGCAGTCAGCTTTGGAGACTAAATCCTATTTAAAGTGGAAATGAAACAGTTAACAGAAAAAACTAAATTCATGAGATTGTGACTTACTATCATCAATACTTATATTACAAACGTGGAAAATATAAATGTAAAAAAAAAATGAAGCATTTTTTTATAATTTGTTTGCAAGGACGCTACCGTGTTGCTGTACTAAAAGCGGTTATGTAACAGGGTTGGTTGACGCTTCATTTGGCAGTTAAATAAATTGATAAAACCAGCTATACATCACAACCATACAGTAAAAATCTTAAGACATTTAGTATGATGGAAGACAAAGCTGAAAGGACACTCAAGCATCTAAATAACATTGCTTATGCTATGGAGCCCATTTTGGGAGTGACTCCAGCCGTAGTAAGGAGAGAAGAGGTACTGTAGTTTTGGAGCATGGGTTCTGACTATCCCTGCTACCTGACAAAGCACCGGTTGTGGAGATAATCTAAACCAGAGGGCTTTTGAGTCTGGTAGGTAAAAGTCCATGGTCCAGCCAGCTAAAGCCTGAAGCTGTTCTGAGTCTTTTTAATTTCACTGCTCATAAGCTGGGCTCTACTGACCGGGAAACAATGCTTCTTTTTTTCTGTTACGTTTATATTTTTCACATTTTTAATATAAGTATTGATAATAGTAAGACACAATCTCATGAATTAAATTACTTTGGTTAACTTTTTTATTTCCACTTCAAACATACCAACAACTCTTTCTGAGAAATGAAGCTGAAGAGAAAGTTCAATCTGGTTCAGTCTTCCATATCAAGAGGAGCGTACGTTGATACCCACTTATTGCTTCCACTACTTTTACAAATGTTACACATCAGATTCCTTAAACGTTTTTGAATTCAGTAAATAAGCCACATAAACCCAAGTTGTTCACCTGTGCATAAGTGAGCTCACATTCCCCAGAAATGTAAATCCGCCTATCATCACCCTTATAATGCCACACAATGCATTGCCATGCTGTCAGATTTGTTCATTTATGGAAATATCTTATTCAAGAAAAACAAAAATGCTTTTCACTACTTTGCGCATCATCAGTGCCTCCTCCTACTCCACATCATCTGCACACTTACCACTCTGTGCACCATCAATGCATTTCACCAATCAGCGCATCCTTAGCAATTCCCTTCCTACTGTAATTTCCTTCCTACTTTGGCGCTTCTTCAGTGCATTTTCTTCCAACTGAGGGCCCTAACTGCGCTCATCCCACTCGTATCATCAGTGCATTTCACCACTCAGTGCATCAGAAGTTCATTTCACCACTCAGTGCTCCATCTGCGCATCTCTGCAAGAGTCACTAGACATTCTTTTGGGGCTCGCTATAATCATCCCTTCAGGTAAGTCTCCTCCATAACCACGCCCTCCTTTATTTACACAAATTTCTTCCCTTCCCTCCCTGGCTTGGGGGTCCAATCTTCTAGCTTGGCCCTAGCACTCTTTTTAGGGGGGAAGACTGCTCTAATCCTCTTCCTAGGTTACACACCTGAAGGAATGTCAATTCTCTGCATCAAAGCCTTCTGCCGGGGCCCGAGCACCAAAAATCTTATTCCATTTAGGTCAATATCTGTATATCTTCTTCTCTTTCCTTGAAATCCAGTCGGCCTTGACATATGGTCGCTCACACTGTGCCTGGTTCCACTGGAGGTTTCTTCCTGTCTATGCATGCATGTTCGGTGTGATGGATTGCAGGCTTACTGGATAAAAACTGAACCTCCCCACATATTCAGCCAAAAACCCAAAGGACTCCGCGGAAGAGGAACAGTGGACGATCAGGAGACGAGACAAACACAAAAACCCTCTTTCCACTGGCTGCCAGGATCCAGGACATGAACCATAAACTAAAACTGAAACGACAGACTGACAGAAAGACAAGAAATTATCTGGCACTGAATGCTCAGGCTGAACTGAATATAAACCAGAGGAAACAGGTGAGAGGAATAAATTATAATTGAGGCAGGGAGGGAAAACGACAGGTGAAAGAGATTACTAATTAAGGCCAGATCATGACACAGGCCAGATCATGACACCTATCTTGGCCAGGTCTCCCTTGCAAAAGAGATTTTTAATCTCAATGGGTATTACCTGGTTAAATAAAGGATAAATAAAAAAATAAATAAATGTTGGTTTTAAAATATTGGCTATGAAGTTTTCTTTCATGATCTTAAATTCGTAGTTTTGTACTTTGTGTGTGGCACTGCAATTTTTAAACAGCACTTGCAAATATAATTTTTAGGGAATGAAGTATATAGATACAATATGACCCACCTGATAAGATATCCATCTATTATCATCAGATAAATAGAGCTATTCCTCTTAATATTGTACAAACCATTGAAATACTGACTGTGTCTTTTTCGCCGATGATTCCAATTGTGCACTGAGATAATAGAATGTCCCGAGAATGTATAGCCCCCTACTTTTCAACATGTACTACAAATATTCCTTTAACATCCCGGTACATTCCTGTCAATTCCAAAATGCTTTTTGCCAAGAAAATGCAGCAATTTCCTGGTTAGCTTTGTAAAGCAGCCCTGCATGCATCCTTTTAAAGGAGCTCAAATAAACCAGTAAAGACAAACATCCAAAAACAGTCATGCAGAAATATCAGCAGGGGGGGGCATCCATGCAGAAGGATGTGTATCAGAGCAGAGCTATCAGAGACACTGAGAGGAAATACACACTGTGTTGGACAGCAATTATCCGCTGCAATTTTGATAGAGACATGAGCATGTATTAAATATGAGACACATTCTCTTCTTCCTTTGAAGGTGCGGTCTCAATCACAGCCACTTCCATCTCTGTGCTCTGTGTCACTTAAATATTTGAGGAGAGCCAGGTGGGTTCAGTGAATCGGCTCAGATTGTAGTGGAGGCAAAATGGAAGGCTTTTAAGACAGGAAGGAGGTTTTTTGTGGATTTGATGTGGAGAAATGCAGCTGTATAAGAAGGGTCTCCCTGACTTGAAGCTGTTGATTGACTATTAACCTGTAACAGGAACCCCAAATAATGTCTTTAGAGTTAAAACCCAACAAGCTATTTAAATTCACTGTCTTCTTACTCTCTCCTTCTGTCTTCACCGAACAATTAAATTTCACTCTGCTGCATTTCATTCAGAATCAGAACTGGCATTAATTGAGAACAAAGTGGAACCAAAGCCGATTTTTTTTTTGCTTTTGTTCTCAAACCTGGCAATTAATACATTTAAAGGAGAAACAAAAATTTATTTTTGTTTTCTTTTGCTTTTATTTCTAAATATGTTCATAATTTTTACTGAAGATTAATGCACGGTTGGATTAATGTAAATAAGTATGGCATCAATATGGGTACTCTGTTACGCTTTCATTAGATTAACAACCTGAGAGAAAGTTACAGGCCTCCAGATGGTAAATGATAACGACCATTCATATATTAATAAGTGACTGATCAGTAGCTCTGTATCAAAGCTGGATGATGGAGGTGGATGCTCAGATATCATTTTAATAACACGCTCTAACCTTTGCCATGTATTGCTCCGCTGATTGGATTGGCTGGGTTTCCAATGGCAACTGGACTGGCACTATGGACAGCTACACCCTCTGTCTGTCTTTCAGTGAGGCAGATTTTATCTGACTGTGTATAATCACATCCCAACTGTCAGAAAGATTGCCATTAGATTTGGATTATTGGGATCAAAGCAAGATTTCTAGACAAACAACAGCTGTGTTTGGATAGCTACTCATTAGAGCTTCACCCGAAACACAATAAAACAAATGTATCTTATAAACTCAACTCTCTTTGGGTTCACTGTTTAATTTTTTCATGGTAATCTTTTTTGGTTTTAAAAGATACAGCAAGCAATGACAAAAGTCAAAATCTGTGGGAAAAGGATACAATCCCCAATATCAGTCTCTGACAATTTCATGTGTTTAGTTAATAAGGTTTGTTTCACAAAAAATAAATAATATGGTTAAGCATTCTGTAAAATTCAGTTTTGGGGGAAGAATTGCGGTTGCATATAACACACGAACACAATTAAAATCCTCTTTAGGTGTCACACATTTATCTTTTTTTGTAAAAGACTAATGCAGGAAAGATGTTACTGCAGAACAAACAGCTAAAATTTAATCTAAGAATGAAAAA